CCCGATCTAGATACTCAATCCATCATAAACATTAATTAGGTGCCTACTGTGTGCCAGGCACTATACTAAGTACTGGGAATACAAAAAGGGACAGAAGACAGTCCCTGCCCTCAAGGAGCTTACAATCTAATGGGGGTATAACAAACAAATACATACAGTCAAGCTACAAACAGGATAAATAGAAAGTAATTAGAAGTAATTAAAAAGAGGGAAGACATTGAAATTAGGAGGGTTTTGGGAAGGCTTCTTAGAGAAGGTGTAATTTTAGTTGGGACTTAAAGGAAGCCAGGAAGGAGAGGGAGAACATTCCAGGCGTGGAATCCAAGCCAAAGAAATGGCCAGGAGCCTAGGGATGGAGGGTTTTGTTTATGGAACAGCCAGGAGGCCAGAGTCACTAGATCAAAGAGGATGTGTTGGTAAGTAAGATGTAAGAAGACTGGAAAGGTAGGAGGCTGCCAGGTTACGAAGGGCTTTGAATATCAAACAGGGCATTTGGCATTTAATCCTGAGGGCAACAGGGAACCACTGGAGTTTACTGAGTAAGGGGGTGACACGGTTGGGCCGGAGCTTTAGGAAAATCATGTTAGTGCGTGGAGGGAGGATGGAGTGGAGTGGGAGAGGCCCGAGGCAGGCAGCCACCCGCAGCTGTTAATGCACTACTCCAGGCATGAGGTGATGAAGGTCTGCACTGTAGGGGCGGCACAATCAGAGGAGAGGAGGGGGCGTATTGGAGAGGGCTGCAAAGGAGAAGTGGAAGGGCCTTGGCCACAGCATGGATGTGGGAGGTGACAGACAGAGTCCAGGATGACTGAGGTTCGTGAGCCTGGGGACCAGGAGGAAGGTGTTGCCTGAAACAGTGATCAAGAAGGTAGGAGCAGGGAGGGTTTGGGGGGAAAGATCATGAGATCCGTTTTGGATGCGGCGAGTTTAAAATGTCTACTGGACGTCTAGTTCCAGATGTCTGAACAGCAGCTGGGAATGCAAGATTGGAGTTCCGCAGAGAGACTGGAGCAGGAAAGGTAGATCTGAGAATTATTGAAGGCTCACTGGCTCCCTTGGTAGGTTCTGATTGGGTTGGCCTTTTTCAAAGCCCCTCATAGCCCAGCCCCTCTTACCTTGGCAGTCTTCTTACCCCTTACTCTCCAGCACATACTCTCCAATCCAGCGACTCTGGTCTCCTGGCTGTTCTACAAACAGGACCCTTCATCTCTTAGCTCTGGGTAATTTTTCTGTCTGTCCCCCCTCCCTGAAATGTTCTCCTTCCTCCCATCGACATACTGACATTCCTGGCTTCCTTTTAGTTTAGCTAAAATCCCACCTTCTACAGGAAGCCTTCCCCAACCCCTCTTACTGCTTAAAAAAAAAAGTGCCTTTTCTCTATTAATTATTTCCCATTTACTCCTGTGGGCTTTCTTTAACATATAGCTTTCTTCTGTGTGACCCTGGGCAAGTCACTTAACCCCAGTTGCCTAAAAACAAAACAAAACAAAAAAACACATATAGTTTCTTTTCTTAAATCCTATATTTAGCGGCATTAGACTGTAAGCTTCTTGAGGGCAGGGACCGTCTTTTGCCTCTTTTTGTATCCCCAGCACTCAGCACAGTGCCTGGTCCATAGCAAGCACTTAATAAATGTTTATTCATTGTTTCAAGCCAGGTATTATGGCATAATGTCATATGTTTATGTTGTTTTCAATACTTTGGTGATTTAAGCAGCCATACTTTCATCAGGGTGAATACTAACTCGGTTTAGAGAAGTAGATTGCATTCTCTTCTATAGCCAAGATGGCGCATCAGAGTATAGCCCTTAGCATCTGTCTGGGCTGGACCTCAGCTGACCGACCCTGAATTCTAAACCTTTTGGCTTAGTGGGATCTGACAGAGCTCCTGCTCTGCTTTGAGAACCCAGAAACCCCTCCATGCCATAGTGAGGAGATGGATAGAGGGAGACATCAAATGTAGTCAGAGGTCCTGGGTTCGAAAGTTGGCACTGTGCCACTTACTGTCACTAAGTCACTTTGTGTCTCTGCTTCTTGCTCTGACAAATGAAGGAACTGGATAGTGGCCTCTGAGGTCCCGTCCACCTTGAAAGCTAGAGTGTTTTTGCATGTCTGACAGGTACCCCCTTTACTAACGCTGTCAGCAGATTATAGATTTAGTCAAGTCTACAAGCTTTTATTAAGTACCTACTGTGTACAGCTGGGTGCTGGGGCTTCAAAGAGAGGTAAAAAAAACAAATCTTGGAAGGAGCACATTCTCCCTGACACACGAGAGTTCAGCTCGACCCTTACTAGCTGTGTGACTATGGGCCTTCATCTCTCCAGGCCTCAGTTTCTGCATCTACATGAGGGTAATTCTACTCATGCTATCTCTTCCTTCCCCAGGGCTGCTGGGTCCTATGATGGGGGAGGCTAGCAGGCCTGGCGCGCTACGGTCGATGGGGTCACAAAGAGTCAGACTCGACTGAACATCTGAACCAAGACAGTACCGGCCCATGAAAACACCAGATAGGATCGTCTCTTTCTTTTTTTCTTTCCTAAACCAGTGTTGTAAAAATTGGAACTTGGGACCTGGTCCCCTTATCTAGCCTTTTTCACTCATCACATTGATAAGAGTGCTAACTACCTAAATTGCTTCTAGCTACGTGGTGGTGGTGGCTTAACTAATCTCCCCAGCAGACTCACTCAGTGGCTATGGCCTGGCCTTCAAAAGGACGAATGAAGAAAAGGGTCTACAATACCATAACCTGCAAGAGCAGTCTGGCCCCACCGTCCAAGGGCTGTCTCTGGTTCACGCGAGGCTCCCACTGCCTATGGTTTTGATTAGATGTGAATTCTAATCCTTTTGGCAGGTTTAGGACCTCTGACTCCATTTGAGGTGTCCCTCCCTCTCTCCCTCCATCTCCTCCCTATGGCATGGAGGGGTTTCTGGGTTCTCAAGACACAGCCTCAGCTCTGTCAGATCCCAAGTCCGGTCAGAATCTCCAGGGAGCTTGCTGAGGCAGCCTACTTATAATTTCATGTTCCCTATCCAGAGGAGGCCCCCGGGATCATTTTTAGAGACCTTCCCTCCTTTTTAGAGACTTCCTGACCCCACTGGTGATGTGACAGCTGCCACAGCTGTACCTTGGTCTGAAAACTCTAAGCCTGGGCCCACGGGGGCTCTAGGTCTTTGACTAGAGAGAGCACATCGCACTGGGGTCCCCCCACTGTATGGTGCCCCATAGGACAGTAGGGGTAAGAGAGCCTGCATGCAGTGTCCCTGGTAAACTGCCAGTACTCAGAGAAAGAGAAAAAAAAGTGCCCACAACACACTTTAAAGTATAACCTGTGTTATCCACATTTTCTCCACCACTTCCTTAAGTCTAGATACAGGGGTGGGGAACAGGGGATACAGGGATCCTTAAGTGAGGACCTAGAAGGTCACAGGTGGCCTCGGGGCTGCAGGTTCCCACCCCCCATATCTAGACGATCAACAGAACGATAAATCATGCCCCGATCTGTAGCACTTACTGCCTCCAGCTAGCCGGTTTGAGCTGCCTCCAGCATATCCTGACTGTATCTTTCAGTACCTTCCTATCCTGAGTATCAGTAAACCAGCCTCACCCGCCTTGGTGTCCTGGCACGCATTTCACCCAAACTCTGCCCTAGGCTCTCATGACAGAGACCTGGAGAACTCCAAGCTAAGCCTCGTGGGGCTTCGTGCCAGATAAAATGGCAGACGAGGGCTGGTGGATCTTCTTCCTGGAGGGCACCACCATCTTCCCGGTCACCCCGTTTGTCACCTCAGAGTTATCCTTTACTCCTCCATCTCCCTCACCACCCCCCAGACCCAGTTAGTTGACAAATTTTGCCAGTTCTTTTTCCCCAACATCTATCTCCTTGCTACTACCCTGGGGTCCAGAGCCTTCACCTCCCCTCTCCTTTGGGCTCTGGTAATGACCTCCTAACCGGTCTCCCTGGCTCAACTCTTGCCTTTCTCTTCACAGCCGCCAAAATGACTTCCTTAAGTATAAATCTGACCAGGTCACTGCCCAGCTCAACAGACTCCAGGGGGGTCAAGTATGAAGTGCGCTTGGCGTTTAAAGCCCTTCACGCCGTGGCGCGAGCCTGCTTGTCCAGACTTACATACTTGAATCCCCTCCCCACGTTCCGGGGTCCAGCCAAGCTGGCCTCACTCATCTCCTTCCTCTGCGACTCTGAACTGGCCATCACCCATCCCTGTCATGTCCCTACCTCATCTCTGCCTCTCCTTAACTCCCTTCAGAGCTCGAAACACGACCTGTTACAGATCTGATCGATCTGGCTGCATGACCTTAGGCCAAATCAGGCACTTTTCTAAGCCCCTAAATTGTGGAAAGACCGCTGACCTGCACTGGTCACCGGAGCATAATTCCAGACCCAGTCCCTACCCTGAGCTATGTAAATGCTGTCTCTCCAGATAGAATGTAAGCCCCTGAGGGCAGGGCCTCTTTTACTTTTGTATTTGTGCCCCTGGACCTAGCAGAGAGTAGGCTTATCGCCTGGTAGAAGCACAGCACTTCAGAGATCTGAGTGGCCTTGGGCGCTGCTCCTTGTACAGACGATAAGACTGAGGCACCCCTGGGTAAGTGATTTGCCCAAGGTTACACAGAGGGCAGGGTTGGAATCTCCCATGCCGGGCCATCCCCTGCTTTTGCCCCTGTAGCAGGGCTGATCCGCCATGGAACAGGATGGTGCCCTGGCAGGCTCTTCCGTTCCTGCTTGCTGCCCCTGGGTAGCAGCTGCTTTGGCTGCTCTTTCCAACAAGTGTGGAGGCTCCTGCAGGGAGCAGTATTGAGGCAGGGGTCTGGATGGCTCCTGGCAGCCCTGGCACCCCAGCCCTGCCTTACTACTGCCACCCATCTCCCCCCTGCCCCTGGGAGAAGAGCCGAGAGTCGTGCAAGGCCCTGGGAAGGCCCGGCTGCTGGGGCAAGCCCCCCCCGCCTCTGCAGGCCCCTCTCTCTCCTGGGCAGCACTTACCTCGGAACCTGCCAGCTGCCTTCACTCCGGGAGGCCCATGGCTCTCTGCTCTCTCTGTTGTCACTAACACAGAAGGATGGCAGGCAGTCTGCTGGCTTCCTGTCACCATCTGAATCACTCCCCTCAAACATCCGCCCCTCCACCGGACCGGCTAGCTGGGAGATGAACGAGGGCAGAGACACAGAGACATCGGAAGGGGGAGACATTCAGAGGCCAAGAAACGTGAAGCAGACCCCAAAGAGCGGAGAAGCAGAGACAAAAATAGAGTCTCTGGGGAGAGAGACACAGAGAAGGGGGGAAGAGACAGAAACAGAAAGGGGAAGAGCTAAAAAAAGGGAGACCGAGACAGAAAAATAGAAGAGAGACAGACAGAGGGCAGGGAGAGGAGACAGAGAGAGAAACTTCCAGATGCCTCAATCTGGTTTAGCTGGGATGCCCTGGAAAGTCCCTTCTTGCTTGTCACCATCTTCCTCCATTCCTGGGCTCCCAGGATGCACCGTGAGCTCGCAGGGTCTTTGCCTCCTCGTAGGCCCAGGTCCTCAGGCTCAGAATGTTCTGTGGGAAGAGTCCTGGAGACCTGGGTTCTAGTCCTGCGTTGCCACCAAGGAAGAAGCAAGTGCCTAGGTGGTCTGCCCTGCCCTCAGGAAGCTCATAATCTGGTCAAGAAGGGACTCATATAGGAGAGACAAATAGCAGATGAGGCAATATGGTACGACTTTGGAGAAAGAGGAGAGATGAGGGGGCCCCTGTCCTCTCACCTCTGACCCTAACCTAAGGATCCCCGGCCTTGTCCTCTACCCTTGTGATATATTCTGAAGACTCCTCATCAGCCCTCTTCTGTGTGACCTCCTCCTCTCAACGTGTCTCCGTTAAAATTGCATCTTTTTGAGAGCAAAGCCCACTCAGCCTTCAGCAAAATGCTTGCCCTATAGCAAGTACTTAGTAGGTGCTTTTCTAACTAACAAGCATTTATTTCATCTCTTTTCCACCTTTCCCCAGTTAAAAAATGCAAAACAAAAAACAAACCCTTGTGACTAATATGCTTAGTCAGGCAGGACAAATTCTCCTATTGGCCGTGTCCAAAAGTATCTACCCCCTCCTGGAGCCCATCACCTCTCTAATCAGGCAGTACGCTTCATCATTCATTTATTCATTCATTAATAATTGAGTCCAATTATTACTCATTTTACCAAGGAGGACACTCAGGCCCAGAGAGGAGCAGTCCAAGGTCACCCGGCAAGGATAGGCCCAGCTTTTTCTATTACAACTCAGTGCCTTCCCAGGGGCTCCTCCAGAGCGGCAGGCCGTGGCCTGCCCAGCAGGGAAAGGAAGATGCCCTCCACTGCCTGGCAGATAGCCACACAAATTCAACAAAGAGGCACTTGTGCGTATGTTGGAGCAGGGGCCAGACCTTGTGAGAGGGCCCAAGACAGTAATATCCCAAGATCTAGAACTGGATAGGACCTTCGAGGTCATTTTGCCCATCAAATCAGGAAGTCAGGCCCAGAGAGGTCGACTTGCCAAGGTCACACAACGTCGCACCAAAAACTCATGGCACCGCATTGCTTCCCTCGTTGTGGATGAGACTTGACCAGCTGAGGGGAAGGTCAGAGCCTCCTCACTCACATCCTGGCCTGGCTGATCCTGTGCTCATTTGTTCCCCCGGAGACTCTGTTTTAGAACACTCGCTTCACAAAATATCTGTTTTTACCACTCGTGCCCACAGCAGGCCCAAATCCTCCGAGGCGGCCAATCCTCTTCCCTTCTCAAAACCAGAATGCCGTCTTTCATGGGGCATTTAGAAGGTGACCCAGCACAGACATCAACCAGAACTGAGATTTTAGGCTTGACCCAAATAAAACCGCACGGTTGACTGCCCAGAACTGCAACGGCTAGTGATGAGTGGAAACCACTCCAACCCAGGCCTCTCCTTCCTTCTTCCTGGACACGGGGTCCTGAGAGTGGTGGGCCCTCAGCGGACCACCAGCTGCCTATAGATTTGGCCAGCAAGATGAAAGTTTGTTACCATCCCTGGGCTTTTTATTTCCATAAAAAGAGGGCTTAGCAGTGACATGAATAACAACTAAAAATAGCTAACATTTATGTAGCACCTACTAGGCGCCAGTGGCTATGCTAGGGCCTTTACGCATAGTATCTCATTTGATCCTCATGGCAACCCTGGCAGGCAGGTAACTGAGGCAAACTGAGGTTAAGTGGCTTGCCCAGGGGTGCCTGGAGGCCACATGTGGCTTTCTAAGTCCTTGGGTGTAGCCTTTTGACGGAGTCCAAGTTCTACAGAACAAAGCCTTTTATTAAGGGGGATTTGTTCTGTGAAGTTTAGATTCAGTCAAAGGGCTGCACGTGAGCACCTAGAAGGCCACATGTGCACAGCCTGGGGCTGTAGGTTCCCTATCCCTGGTCTTGCCCAAGGTCACATAGCTAGTAAGTGCCTGAGGCTGGATTTGAACTCAGGTCTTCCTGACTCCAGGACCAGTGTTCTATCTACTTTGCCACCTTGGTTGCCTCAGAAAGTCCTTCATTTAATAGACGAGGAAAGTGAGGCCCAAGAGGAGAGACTTCCCAAGGCCACACTTGTCGTAAGTGGGAAGAGCCAGGACTGGTATCCAGATTTCTGATTCAGTCCAGCCTCAGTCCTCCCACTGTACCCCACCATCTCCTCCAATCCTTTCCCGTTTGCTCCACTGAGGCCCAAATTCCAAACTCTCAGACTCACCAAGGGGTTAGGAAGCGGGGGTGGGGGGTGGTGGTGGTGGTGGTGGAATTTCCATTTCCCAGAACAGCTGGTCCCTGGTGTGGGCTCAGAAAAGGAAAGAGAAAGGCAGAAGAAAGTGGGCAGGAAACCAGGCTTGGACCTGCCCAGGAGAAGGTGAGCAGAGGCTTATGGTCCATGCCACTCATCTCTACGCAGCCTCCATCCCCATCGCTCTGGGGATGAGGAGACATGTCCAAAAAGTAAGGCAGGGACTTTCCACAGCCCTTTTTTTTTTTTCATGTTATAAACTTAACAAGCACCAATAAACTTGAACATTTCTATATACAAAGAACAGAAAAGAGAATTTATATATGGAACTGAAATATATATGGTTCTTAAAGTACATATTAAATTTAAAATAGTAGTAACAACATTGTCCTATGTTCCCTGTTGCACAGTTTTGCTTCTGTGTATTTTTGTTTCATAACAATCCTCCCTCTCTTCCTTCCTTTCCCCTTTCCTTCCTTCCCTCCTTCCATCCCTCCCTCCTTTCAAACCAGTTCTGCCAATTCACTGAGAGAAATGATTATTAAGAACCAATTATGGGGTTTATCCAGGCTTTTTCTCTGTCCTATTTCCTTGTTCGAAGCCCACCTTTTGAAGGACCTTACTGACCTCCGCCAAAAACCTACCCCACCTAGACCATCTTATCCAGGTGAATTCCCATCCTCCCTGTTCTCCTCAGGTTTGGGTGGGATACATTCTTTGATTAGATAGCCCAAGGCTGGGCTATTTAGAGGACACATCTCCCAGCCCTTCACTAGAATGGTTCCATCCCTCATTGTAATAGTCATTCTTCTCATCAACTGTTAAACCAGTCAGAGTTGATCACCACCCTCAGGAACACCCACTCTTCCGAGGGCATGTAGGCCACCGCCATGATTCATCCTTGGTCCAAGACTGAGACAGCCAAGTGACCATCCTTTTTATCAATAAAATGTTAGCATTATTAATAAAATGATTAATTACCCAGAAAATACGTCTTTTGAGCCTTTCCTGGTCACATCACTGAGAGTCTTGGGGCCCCGGTTTATCACCTGCCAACGTTATGGGCTTGAAAGGGGGCTGGGCCCCTTCCCACTGCTGCCACCTGGTGGTACAAAATGATAACACCAGAAAGCAGTTGGATGTACTGTATACTGTTGTTGATTGCTTTGGGAGACCCTATTTCCCAAGGAACTTGGCAGGTGAGAGTGTCAGGGACTCTTTGCTCACATCCTGCTCTGCTTGACTATGTGGTCAGTTGTTTTTAAGTCATTAAGACCAGGCAGGAGACTGGAGCCTCCATTTTGGAACCTGGACTCTGTAGTCAGAGAACAGGAAATCTATTTTATTCTATTCCATCCCTCATCACAAGCATTTATATTTAAATATATTTTTGTGGCTATCTGTCGCTTTTACATCACCCAGATTTATCCCTATATCTTCCCCCTTCCAGCTCCTGAAAGAGCTGTTTTTTTGTTTTTCGTTTTTAAAGAGGAAGAGAAGAAACATCAGCAAAATCAATTAATGTACTACAAAACATGGTTGATTTCTGTTATCAATGCTCTCCCAGGCCGCACTCACTTTTGCAGACTGAACCCCCAGAGGGCAGCTACTATGACTCTGAAGGGTTCTAGGGGTAGCCCTGAGGGATCAGGGGTAGTATTTCTGGTACTACAGCTTGTGAATGCCCACCGGGGTGCTGTCAATCACTTATTCAGAATTAGCTTTTACAAAGGCATATTTACTAACGTGGCATATAGTGAAAACAGTTGGTATACAACATCCCCCCTCACATTTGTGACACACTCCACCACAAGTATACACAGAGACCAGGGGAAAGTGGACTTGAGCTCAGAGCACTTTTGGGCAAGAGGGTAAAGAAAGTCTTTTTGATGGAGTGAGTCCTCCATATGCTCCCCTTTGGGATGGTATAGCTTTTCTGCTGGGTTCTTCGTAGAATCCTCCAAGATCTTTCCTCAATAGTTTTTCGTTGGCTTTGGATGCAGATACTGCCCAACGTCAGCTACACTAGGACATCAGTTCTTCTGACCCTCTAGTCAAGTGGGGGTGGTGAGTGTTTGAGGCTGGATTTGAACTCAGGAAGATGAGCCTTTCTGATTCCAGTCTGGGCACTCTATTCGCTGCCCCACCTTGATCCATGATCCTATTATCTATTAAAAAAAAACCTCAAAGCCAGTTTATTACTGTAACAGCCAACTCCATTCTAGCTTTAATACCTTCTGATATGGGTCTTGTGATTTTATCATGCCCTGTGGCCCCGTGACTGCCTTCATACATTCTTTTTATCATACTTAGCGAGAGATTAGAGAGCTGGACTAAATTATCTCTAGACTCTCACCCTGAATCATGCTATTTAAAGATGGCACCAGGACAGGAAGAAGGTCCATTTAGCTCAAGTAGAGAGCTTCTCCAGCTGGCACGGGATGGTGAATTTTTAAGGGAAGAGGAAACGTCCCAGATTCTCACTGCTATTTAGGAAAAGTCCTCGGGTCCTCACTCAGAGCCTGAGACGACTTGCCTCGG